GTTGCCAATCTTGCTTCATTTGACTCTGGCTCCACCCACAGCCCACCCAAAAATACACACCCTACCCATATACACATTTATTCTAGACATGCCACTTGATCCATACTTTTATACACATCTTTAATAACGTCTTTCAAAATAAAATCACAACCTTACAAAATTAACTTCAATTCTTAAAAACTACCTAATATCCAGTCTATATTCAAATTTCCCAACTACCTCAAATGGTTTTTTTATTATTGAACATTTGAAACATACAAAAATAGAGAAAAAAGTATAATGAATTCCTATATACCCATCACTCAATTCAATACTTTAATACTCCCATCCCAGATTATTTTAAAGCAAATCCCATACATACCATTTTATCCATATACAGCCTGGTATACAAGATTTTTTACAGTCTGATTCAGAATCCAAACCTCAGTAGGTTCTGAATCCACTGATTCAGAATCTAAGCCTCACACTATGCTTAGCTGTCTCTAAAGTCTCCTTTATTTATATGTGTGTGTGTGTGTCCATATATATATATATATATATATATATATCCATGCACACTATATATACAGTCCATATATATGTCCATATATACTATATATATGTGTGCGTGTATATATACACTAAAGAATAATATATATATATATATATATATACACACATACACATACATATATATACACACTAAAGAATAAATATTATTCTCCCCCACCCTCGCTTCTTCTTTTCCAATGTCATTTTCTGTTGGAGTTACCAGGACTTTTGACCTGAAGAATGACCTCACCTTCTAAATGAGGCATATTGCTTCCTCATGGTACGAAGTTCTGTTGTTCTATCTCCTGTACACGTTTTAAGCTGGTAATTAGCTATGCAGACTTGATTAGATTAAGATTCAAATCAGATTCAGACACAAAACTTCAAGGGGAGTGTTACATACTTTCCATTGCACCACATCATGAAGCACATGAGTCTGCCCCATTTTCAGGGATGCCAAGATTGAACAGGAATTCAGCTCATGTCAGCCGATCCCTCCACAGTAACATTCCCCCATCAAGCTTTGACCTAATGGTTTTAGCATCCATTGATGGTTACCTAGAGTGATTATATAATTAGAGATTTGAAAAGAACAGTTTTCTCATCCTTTGCTTATATTAAAATTTTTCCTTAAAAAACTCGACCATGTCAATATTGGGTTACCCTGAAATCAATGACTCTCTGCCTTTACCAATTTCAGAATAATGAATTGGTGCAACTCCAGCAGTTTATTTCAGCATAATTATAAACTTGATCATGTATGTGATGGTTTTGAGTCCACTGTAGTAGTTTTTAGATGCCAACATTATCCCATCTTAAGGCCAAAGAATCTCTTCAAATTGGGGGACGGAGGTATATGTTTAAAAGAAGAAAATGCTGGGGCGCCTGGGTGGCGCAGTCGGTTAAGCATCCGACTTCAGCCAGGTCACCATCTCGCGGTCTGTGAGTTGGTGGTCTGCCCCTCCCCCATTCATGCTCTGTCTCTCTCTGTCCCAAAAATAAATAAACGTTGAAAAAAAAAAGTTTAAAAAGTAAATAAATAAATAAATAAAAAATAAAAGAAGAAAATGCTGACTTTACCTCCAGATTTACTGTGAGGCAGACCCTCTGCATGACTAATACATACAGGAAAAAAAAACATATATCAGAAAAAAGAAATCCATGAACACAGAAATGAATATATTAGGATAAGAGGCCTAGCACTGAGAAGAATTCTGACTGCACCAAGAGGAAATATTTGATTTTTGTCAGCTGAATTGTAGCACATGTCCTCGCCATTCTACAAAATCTTTCCGAGTAATACTCCCACTGTCAATCCACTTCTACGACCCCCCCCCAACCTTACAGCTCCACAGAATGATAGAAATTTCTCAAAATCTGTTTAAAAAGAAAAATAATTCAGTCTCTCACAATAATTCTAATAAGCAAGGAGGATCTTTCCCTCCCCACCCCTTCTGTCCTTAAAAACATAAAATGTTCTCATCTTGCTGTCAGTCTGGAAGTCAAAGATAGGGTGAGGGGGATACTCTCAGAGACCACTTCATTTGTGTCTGTCCATGCTGCACTTGTCATTCCACAAGTCCTGCTATGAGCTGCTTACTGCTGTCCCTGTATCAAGGTAATCTGGAAAATCAATGCATGAAGGCGTCTCCTAAAACTTGTTACCATGACATGGGTAAAACTGCACAGAAACTGCTTTCATCACTATTTGACCCTTAAGAATCTAGGGACACGATGCTATTATCAAGGTTATACCCTTTCTCATTCAGTTGTCTCCCTGTACACGCAGTATCATGTTCCATAATGACTGAGTACTGCAGTAAGGTCTACACAGAGGAACTTGTTCCAGGACACAAATTCAAATATATTCACAGTTCTCATGGGAAATTCTATGACTGTGTCAAGCTTATTCCTCTAGGATTTGCTATGCAATAAACTAGGATCACAGGCAAGGACCAGATATTAAACTTCTTTGAGACCTGTCAATGTTTCTTATAACTGGAACAAAGTCCCTGAGGATCTTCATGGTGGTGAAGAGCTCAATATATTAATTCCCACAAGGTCACTGGAGTTTCCTCTTCTGAGGCTGCAGTATACTCAACATGATTTTCATAAACCTGCTTCATGCCAGTAAACACTCCATATTTCATTACCTCAATCAATAACAATTGTGGATCGAGAGAGGGTTTGAGGAGTTTTCTATCAGTTGCATATAAATTTATGTCAGTCGTTCACAGAAGTTCACAGGGCTGAAAAGCCTCTTTGGGAGAGGCTGGCATTTGATTTCAGGGATGGCCCTATCAGGGTCAAAAAAAGCCCCCCCACCCATCCCCAAGCTCCCACTGCTTTGTTTTTAAAATCTGTCTTTGCCTTTGTCCTAACACTCCACTTCTTCACCTCCTTCACAAGTACTCAGGGAGCTGCTGCAGGGCCCTCGCTCCAGAGGGGAAGGCCAGATTCATCACACAGTAACTGATCTGTTCATAAACAGCCTCATGTAAGTACTGAAGGGTTAGCTGGTGCTTCGGGAAAGAAACCAGCAGTAACTGAGTAACACTGTACCAGAGAAAGTACTCCACTGCCTAATTTCTTCTCTCTCAAAAGGACTGAAAGAGTGACAAATTCAGAGATACTCAGAGTTCCATAATGGTGCTGCAGATCTCATGGATGAGGACATCATTCCAAAGCATAACACTGCTGTATTTGGAGTATTTTGTGGAACTGGTGTGTGTACCCACCATATTTTCTGCAGCAAAGCCAGAGTTTCCACAGAACCTCACACATTTCAGATACCCCACATCACTGGCATAGTCATATACTGGACAGGTCTTCAAGGTAGGTCTCATAGACACCAAAAAGATCCTCACAGCTCTTTCTTCAGGGGTGGTGACAGTTAAAATAGCAATGAAAGTCAAGGGTCAAAGAGATTTTAACACACCCCAAACAAAGAAAACTGGATATGAACAGCCATGGAAAGTGTGCACAAGGGGTTCCACAATCTGTGATTTTCTCAGAATTTCTCTGCCACACATCTGGCCACCCACCGGCATCCTTCAGCTCCAAGTAAAACTGCTTCTTTCCTTAGTTCAGATCTTTGTATGATCGATCCAGATAAAAGACAGCTCCTGAGAATCCACTGTGGCTGACTGCCAACAACCCGAGAAGCAAAATGTCTCACCTGGGTTTTGAACATGCCAGAGGCCTTGTAAGCATTCCTCCTGACCACACCTCCTCAGCCTCTGTAATTTCCCCTCTCATCCCCAAAGGACGATCTCCATGCTCTCAGACCCACAGACATCTTTCAAAAGGAGTCACGCAGCAACAGTGCAGTGTTGCTCAAGCTCTTAGGTACCTCTCAGGTCTCTAAACCCATAAGCTGTGAGGAGACAAATGGGACTCCTGACGACCAAGTCAGATCTTTGACTACAAGGACTGGCTTTGGTCATGGGCTAGCTTCACTTTGGGGGCACAAATACCATCATCTGGCTCTGGTAGAGCCCAGAGTCCTGGACCATGTTGTCCGGCCTGCTTAGCTATTCACGAGTGCTGCTTCTATTATCTACTCCAGAGCCAAGTCTCGAGTGCTCAGCAGGGATGCTAAACAGCTCCCCTAACTCCTTCTCTGTAGTCACGATGGTTTCTGCTGTGCTGGAATGGCAACTTAGCATACTGGTGGAATCAGTGTTCTCACAGCACATCCTCAGTTAAATACACCTCCACTTGGTAGTGCCTGACAAACAGGCCATGCTCTCCTACTTTTCTGATTATGGCTTTACTGAACAGCTGCACTGATTCACTGGCTTATTCAAAGCCTTAGAGAAGACAGATACACAATCAAGTTCAACAATTAAGTGTTATTTTTAGATCTGACTAACAGGACTTAAAGAGTCTAGAGTTATCTATCAGGCCAGAAACAGGCTGTTCCCACTCTGTGTGTGTGTGTGTGTGTGTGTGTGTGTGTGTGTGTGTGTGTGTGTGTGTGTGTGTCTCCCCCAAGTGCTGACGCCCATATACAGCTTCACTGCTTAAACAACGGATTGTCAATCAAATACCACTTCATCCATTCCCCAAAGCCCAAGCCTGGAACCCTTGATCTCCAAGTTCGGTCGCTCTCAGCAGCCTCTGCCTTTCACCATCTCATCCATGGAGTAGGCCCCGCTCAGTCAGACAACTACCACAACATGCTGCCCTTTATATCCAAGTCATGTCCTATTATGCCATTTGATACAATCCTAAGAGTCATTCACAGCTTCCCTGCTTCCTGGCACAAGACATTCCAGGCTCACCTTTTCCAACTCCCCTAGACTTGGAATCAGCCATTTCTTCAAGGAGTCATGAATCCCTCTAGTGGAAAACAGTATTTAACCTGGAGAGTAAGACTGTTCAATGGTGCTGAGTTGTCACTGATTCTACGCCTTGTATTTAGACTAAACTTACACACAAGCCTGGTAAATAAAAAAGAAACTTACAGGCAAAGGAAACAGCTTCCCATTTACTTTTATACATAGACTATTGGGATAGTTGTCTTCTTGAGGGCAACTTGTCTCTGCCAGGCAAAGTCTGCATTAAGAAAAAAAAAATTCTTATTAAAGAGTATACCCAAACATGCTTATGTATTTTCAAGTTCAGGACTATATGCACATAGTTAGCAAGTATAAAATTAACAGAAACCTTCAAACTCACCTCAGCTGAACCTGGACTGTATAATCTCTCCTACCACCTGGCAAAAAATCCCTGTTGGAAAGAAAAAGAAACTGGGTTAAGAAGGTAAAACAAGAATTCGCAGAACATTCTCACCAGAAAGAAAGCATTATTAGTATTTTTATTCTTATCTCTGAAGAGGAACAATACCCTACCAACAGCACAAGCCTTAATCAAAACACTGTTGTGATGACAACCATCATTCACTTAACATTTGGTCATGTCCTTACAGCAATTTTAAGGTATTTTCAATTCACAGGAACTTTTCATGATACAGTGTTTATTGCAACAGGCAACAGATTTTGGTTAACATGAGAAGGAGCACCCTCAGTTCTAAAAGAGTTTAATAAATTTAGCTGTTTGTTTATAATGGTTAACCCTGGCTGACCATTTTAATCATGTGATTTTTTTTTAAACTATATAGACCCATTCACCAGATAGTCTATTGTCTGCAATACAGACTGAGCATTAGTTTGTTTTTTTTTTTTTTTAAATGTTTGTTTATTTTTGAGACAGAGAGGGACAGAGTGCAAGCTGGGGAGGGGCAGAGAGAGAGAGAGAGAGAGAGAGACACAGAATCCGAAGCAGGCTCCAGGCTCTGAGCTGTCTGCACAGAGCCCAACATGGGGCTCAAACCCATGAACCGTGAGATCATGACCTGAGCCGAAGTCGGACGCTCAACCGACTGAGCCACCCAGGCGCCCCTAGACTGAGCATTAGTTTTTACAGCAGGTGATTCTTATATAGAAGCAAAACAGAGAACAAATGCCTAGAGTCTTGGCATCTCTGTACCATAGCAACTTTATAATCAAATATCCAATTAAGGACACAGAATGTCTTAGAATTTCTAGATGAGAACCTAAAGGAGTGCCAAATAAAATATTTCTGGCACTGAACCTTCCAAAGCCTCGCCACCCCAACTGGAGCCTACAATGCAGCAGCACTGTGACTGTTTGGGAGCTTGTCGGAAATGCAGAATCCCAGGCCCCACTACAGACCTACAGAATTAGAATCTGTGCTTTCCCATGATCCCCAAGGGACACGAAAGCACGTTATACTGTAAGAAGTAAATCTTGGGACCCTGTCAGAGAGAAGCATATTAGAAATGAGCTCCTTCTTGAGAGGGCATTTAGCCCTCACCTTGCTTTAACTGGGTCAGTCTTCTGCTCCACTTTGTTCCCTCGAAGGCAGTAAAGCACAACAGTGACCAGCTTGAGTTCCATAGTCCGGCAAATTACTGAACCTGTGTGTGCCTCTGTTTCTCCATCTGTTCAAGATGGAAAATTGTTGCACCTCCCTCATGGAGGAGTTGTGATGATTAAATGTGTTAATAGCACATGCAAAGTGCCTGGACAGAAAAAGTGCCCAACAAGTGTGAGCAGCCAGCTGCTACCATTACTAACTCTGCTTGCACGTTCCCTTGCCAAGGGTGGGAAGCCTCCACCCTTCTCAAATGTCTATTCAAAACCTCCCAGTATCCTAGACAACACTGACCTCTTGTGAGTAACCCATATCACTCCACTCATGAAAATCGAGAAACATTTCACAGTCTGGGTGCTGGTTCTACCACAAATGAAGACTCCATATTTGCTCTCAAAGGTGTCATGCTAGTAGGTTAACAGCTAGTAGGTAACAGATACATACGACTAAAATGTGTTAAAGGTTACAGTAAATTCTGAAAAACAAGTGCTACAGAAAAGATGTAAGTTTAACTCTGTCTTAAAAGTTCAAGGCAGGGGGGCACCTGGGTGGGTCAGTCGGTTAACTGTCTGACTTCGGCTCAGGCCATGATTTTGCAGTCTGTGATTTCGAGCCCCATGTCAGGCTCTGTGCTGACAGCTTAGAGCCTACTCTGGATTCTGTGTCTCCTTCTCTCTCTGACCCTTCCCTGCTTGCTCTCTCTCTCTCTCTCTCTAAAATAAACATTTAAAAAATTGGGGGGCTCCTGAGTGGCTCAGTCGGTTAAGCGTCCGACTTCAGGTCATGATCTCACGGTTTTGAGTTTGAGCCCCACATTGGGCTCTGTGCTGACAGCTCGGA